TTCCGCTCCTTCAGCAGGTTCTTGGCTCCCCGCCTTCTCCTGGTCCTCCTCCTCCTTTCCTGAGTCCACCGCCTGTCCAGTCCCAGTCGCAGTTACAGCCGGCCTCTCCCCTGCCTGGTCCTTCTCCTTACTCTGGTCCGACTAGAGGTCTTACTGAGCGTCGTGAGCCTGAGTCTCGTCCTGTGTCGCCTGCGTCTCGTTCTGCGTCGCCTGTCCGCACTGTTCGCGCTGGTCGTGTTTTGCGTCCGCGTCTTCCTCCTGTCCCAGGCACTCACTCTATGACACTGCGTCCTTCTACTGCTTCACAGCGTGTCCCTCTGCCCTCTCCTCCTGCGTCCTCTCTTCCTGACGGTCCGGACCCGGAGTCTGACTCCCTTCGTGCTGCTAGTCCTACTGTCACGCGTTTTCTGGCCACTGCTGTCACTGACCCTCTGTTTGAGTCCACTGCTGCGTCTGCTCTTGTTACTGAGCTCGTTGACTTTGCTGCAGCCTGTCGCCTAAACTACGCCGCTAGTCTTGTTGCTGAGTCTGCGTCTGTCTGTCCTCCGTCCGTCGGGGGTGAGTGTGCTCTTGGCACGGACGTCCTTGAGGACAGACAGGAGGACCTTGAGTGCATTGCCGCTGCTTCACCTCATCTCGTGTCCATGCTGCTTGCCCCTGAGGGAGACCCGGATGCACTAGACATCCCGACCCCGCGCTCTTACGCAGAGGCGATAGAGGGTCCCTACTCCTCTCAGTGGCAGGCAGCCATGGACGCAGAGATGGCTTCCTGGAAGTCCACAGGCACCTACGTAGACGAGGTTCCCCCACCTGGGGCGAACATCGTCAGTGGCATGTGGATCTTCAGGGTGAAGCGGCCGCCGGGTTCCCCGCCTGCCTTCAAGGCGCGTTACGTTGCACGTGGCTTCAGTCAGCGACAGGGAGTTGACTTCTTTCAGACCTTCTCCCCTACTCCGAAGATGACCACTCTTCGGGTACTGCTGCACGTTGCTGCTCAGCGTGACTACGAGCTCCACTCGCTTGACTTCAACACAGCCTTCCTACAGGGCAGCCTGCACGAGGAGATCTGGCTGCGCCGCCCACCTGGCTTCACTGGGTCGTTTCCTGCTGGTACCCAGTGGAGCCTCCGGCGGCCAGTCTACGGTCTCCGCCAGGCGCTCCGTGAGTGGCACGACACGCTCAGGACGACTCTTGCTGCTCTTGGTTTTGCTCCTTCCACTGCTGACCCTTCTCTGTTTCTACGCACTGACGCTACTCTGCCGCCGTTCTACGTTCTTGTGTACGTAGACGACCTTGTCTTTGCTACTGCTGACACGGAGGCACTCGCCCACGTGAAGTCCGGGCTGCAGAAGAGACACACGTGCACAGACCTGGGTGAGCTCACAAGCTATCTTGGCTTGCGGATCACCCGGGATAGAGCACAGCGCACCATTACCTTGACTCAGTCACACATGGTGCAGCAGGTCCTTCAGCGCTTCGGCTTCACCTACTCCTCGCCACAGTCCACTCCTCTGCTTACCGGTCACTCGCTCTCAGCTCCACCTTCGGACGAGTCCGTAGAGCCGAGTGGCCCGTATCCAGAGCTTGTGGGCTGCCTCATGTACCTGATGACTTGCACACGACCTGACCTCGCATACCCTCTCAGCCTTCTGGCTTGCTACGTGGCTCCTGGCAGGCACCAAAAGGTGCACTGGGATGCTGCGAAGAGGGTGTTGCGATACTTGTGCAGTACATCGGGCATGGGGCTCGTGCTTGGAGGACGGGCTCGAGTTGTCCTCACTGGTCACGGTGATGCCTCCTAGGTTGACGACTTGGCTACGCAGCGGTCGTCACAGGGTTACACCTTCAGCCTTGGCTCCGGTTCTGTCTCCTGGCGTTCTACCCGCTCTTCTTCTGTTCTCAGCTCCAACTGTGAGGCTGAGATCTACGCTGGGGCCATGGCTGCACAGGAGCTTCGCTGGCTCACCTACCTGCTGACCGACTTGGGAGAGGCGCCTCGTTCTCCTCCAGTTCTGTACGTCGACAACAAGGCCATGCTGGCCTTGTGTCAGGAGCACAGACTGGAGCACAGAACGAAGCACATTGCTCTGCGCTACTTCCTTGCTCGAGAGTTGCAGCAGCGTGGCCAGCTTCGTCTTGCTTACGTGGCCTCTCAGGCCAACACTGCCAGCTTCGTTTTCACCAAGGCACTTCAGCCTTGTGATCATCAGCGTTTCTGTACTGTGTTAGGCCTTGTACTTACTGTGCCTCACTTGTTGACTTCTTGACTCTGCTTGTACTGTACTCTATATACTTATACCTGCATGCTTACACTTGCTAGGTTGTGTTCACTGTACTGTTTACTTTCCTTTATATAACTCTGGATGTGAACTGGCCTTATGGCCCTTTGCTTGTGCTCAGACTGTGTGGTGACTTTGTGATCCACCCTGAGCTTGCTTTGCTTTTCTTGACTGGTCTTGTGACCTCTTGTTCTCCCCCACTTTGCCTATGGGGGTGTGTCAAACTTATATCTGCTTTAGTCTATTTAGGCTGTAGTGGGGTAGTTCTTAGAGGGTGCAACACTTATGTGTTTCCTACTTGTACCCATCCCATTCCTAGTTCATTCATTCTTTCGTCAATTATCTCACAGAGACCACCCTTGCCGTGGTATAATTTAAACTCTTGAGTGGTGCTGTCTGCCTCGAGGTGTATGCCCTTCGCCATCAGCTGACTGACGCTCAGTAGGTTATATCCGAGCCCTTCTGCTATCAGGACCTTTGACATCTGCATTATGACGTTTGTTTCTCGTGACTGAAGTTGCACTACGCCTTGTCGTCGTGTGCGCAGGTTCTGATTGTTGGCGACGGTGATGACGACTTCATGTTGAAGTTGGTGTTCACGTTGAACAAAGCGTCCTGAGGAGCACATATGCTGTCCACAGCAACTGTCCAAGAACCACGTATCCTTTCCGGATGGCTCGCTTTGAGCGATGGCTGCGTATGTTGGATTTGGTTGAAGTGACTCGCGGCGAGGCATGCTGTTGTCGAGTTGTTCTTCCGGTGAGTAGTGTGGTGGAGACTCGGTGATGCAAGAATCGGTCAGCCGTGTCATACAACTGACGATGTTTCTTGTTTCTTGCGCAGGTTGTCCCGTCGATGTTGTTGAGGCTTGTACTTGGGATGTCGGATTTGCTTGCGTTGAGGCAAATTGACTGCTTGAAGGTCGAAGTTGCCGCTGCGTCGGTTCTGGCTGTTGTCGGTTAGGACAGTGTGTACGAGGATGTCCTGACGTCTTGCAGAGGTGACAGAACGGAGGTACTAGTTTCGGTTGATGCTGATAGTTGTTGTTGTAGCGTCGTTGAGTGTGGAACGCGAATTCAGGTACTGATGCCTTCTTGTTGTGTCGTTCTTCTTGCAGGTCCATATCTTGCTGCTCAGCGTGGATCTCGGCGCAGAGTGCTGCTTCTGATATCTTTCCATGAGCTCGGAGGACCGAGGCCGCCGATGATGACTGTGACGAAGGCGTCTTCTGAAATCGACCCTCCGCATCGAAGGAGTTTGTCGCGCAATTCGCGACAACGGCTGATATACGCCATCCCTTTTTCGCCTGGTTTCATTTCGACTGTCGTCAGTTGCGCCATTAACCGACTTTGATTTACGCTCTCTGTTGCTTGATACAGGTTCTTCAGGTGGTTGTACGCGAGCTCTGCAGAGTTGCCGTAACCCCGGTAAGACCGTATGTTCTGTTGCTGACTTGGAGTGATGTTTCTCAGCAGTATTGTGTACGCCATCATTGATTGATAAGTGTACTGCTGCTTGTCGTACTGTGTGCCGTGTGTTGGATATGGCAGGGACCCGTCGAAGAAGCCAAGAATCTGCGCGCCTTCCATCATTAACTCGAACTCAAATGACCAGGTAAAGAAATCCTTTCCGTCGAAAGGCCTTGTCGTCTGCAATTTTAAGACGTGCGCGAACTGCGACTGAACTTGAAGTGCATCCAATGTCTTTTCTTGTCCGTTTGCAGGCTGCGGGTGTGGCATAAAGCTGACGGAGCCACGCTGGGGCTCATACGGGGCAAAGGTAGGCCGTTGCTGTTGGTTTCCACGTGCGTAGGATGAACCGTCGAGGCTCATCGGTGTTGCGTTGTTGTTGCTGTTGTTTGACTGTGCAGGTGCCCCTTGCTGGTGCTGTTCGTAGAAGGACATGAAGGAGAAGAACTTCTCCATCATGTCTGGATCGAAGGCCGCAGCTTGATTTGTGGGAGTTTCCGAAGACGATGCCCTTGGTCTTGTTGCCGTACCCTCCTCTGTCTGTAGACCAGAGGCAGGAGGTGGAGTAGGGGTAGTGCCAGGAGAGCCGTTAGAGGAGCTTCTCTCCTTCTGCGTTGCCATTTCTTGTGATGTCGTAGATGTCTTGATTGTAGTTGAATTTGCCCTGACTGCTCTGATACTATGTTGGGCTGAGAAAGCCCTTAGGATCTTTGGAGGACAGAATTCAAGAGTAGAATGATGTAGTAGCGGAAGCGTTTTAATGAAGACTTGTTGAACCACCTTGCGCTTGTATGTGAGGGCAAAGTAAGTTAATAATAACAAAAGGGATACAAGCTTTTATAAGAATACAAAGGAATATGAAGAGATACAGTTAATAACTGTTTTACTGTTGCTGTTGCGGTTCGATACAGTGTCGACTCGGGCAACTACTCAGTATCGAGACAGTTGTTTGTCCTTGCTGTCGCGCTGCATTTGTCAGGTCAAAGGTCGCTGACCTTTGACTTTCGCGTAACCTCCAGCAGTTGTTCAACCTCCGAGGGTTGACTCACCGATGTTTCGATACGATCCGCTTCGCTTCTGTCTTGGTGTTTCGACACGACAGAGGCGCTTAAATCAGTTGTTTCCAATAGAATTGACCAGGGTCGCCGCTAGCTCGCCGTTTCAAGCATTCTGTTTCAGTCGCTTGCTCGCTCACTGCTCCACCGATGACTGTGGTAGTAGGTAGCACGTACAACACCATCGACTTTTTACTTTAGTACAACACCCTTCGGTTAACACGGTAGTGCATTCTAGACCCCTTCGACAGCTGCTCACTTCTCAACTCAATCTCCCTCATCAACACGTGCTCCGGCACTGGATAATACTTCCACCTCACCTCCTCCTCCATTTGCCCCTCCCTCAAGGCCTCCTTAGCAGGCACCACATACACTCGCCAAAACTCCTCTAGTGCAGTGAATAGTAGCTCCCAGTACTGTTTGTCTCTTTCCACCCTGAACAGTGCAGTGCCGCCCATTTCAGTCCACACGAAAAAATCCAGCCAATCACGGTCAAATATTTCTAGCAGGCCTTGGATCAAAGGGGCACTTGATTTCGAGAATGCCAGGTGATTGGGGGGAGGAGTGAAAGCAGAGCCGGTCGGAGGGGAGGAGGCCATCTGGGGAAGCACCGAGCCAGGAGAAGGCCGGGTCTTCGTGCTTCTAGATCTGATGGGGGGGAGAGGGGGAGAGAGAGGGAGAGGGAGAGGAAGAGAGATGAGGGGAAGAGGGAGAGAGATGAGGGGAAGAGGGACGGGCAAGGTGTAGCTGTGAAAGGTAGTGGTAATGATGGATAGCGTGTAGCTGTTAAAGGTAGTGGTAATGATGGATAGCGTGTGGCTGTTAAAGGTAGTGGCAATGACGTTTAGGATGCTATTGTTACTCACCTGCATGTCTGCACTTTTCGGGAACTAATGCAAAGGACCGTTTGAGGGGAAGAGAGATGGGCAGGGGGGCAGCAACAAGGACGAGAGGCACAGAAGGCCTTACCTACAACTCCCTTACCCCACGCACAGCCATACCTGAAAGGACTTTAACTCCACTTTCCCACCTATAATCCGCTCATATGCCATCAGAGCCTCCCCCTCCTTCTCCTGCCCCCAGTCCGTCGCTGCATTCCCGGCAAACGGCACTTTCAGCCCAACCTTCTCCTCCCACAGCTGCTGCCGACCCCCCGGAAAGAACCCCACTGCCGTCGCAAACGCGCTGGCTGTCAGCCGGTTGGCCCGTAGAGCATACCACTCCGCTGTGCACTGCTCCTCGCCGCCCTTGCCCAGATTCACCGTATCTTCCTCCTGCCCGGTTATCATCCTTGCTGCGCTTCCCGTTGGTGGTATGATCAGCGCTGGTTGCTCGGGCAAAAGCAGCCCGGGTTTGCTGTGAGGAAAACCCTCTTGAGTGGTATCGCTCGCTTGACGCATTTCCCCTGCCTCGGACTCTCCCCCATCTAATGATGATGATAGTGATGATGGTGATGGTGATGATGTTGATGATGGTGATGGTGATGATGGTGATGATGGTGATGGTGATGATGGTGATGGTGCTACTGGTGTGGCTTTTGGTCAGAGTAACTGTGCTTTCACTGGAGGCGCTTTGAATGCAGGTGGTAGTGTTCCGCTGCGAATGATCGCCAGCTGCTGCTTCACATACTACCAGCGCTCTGCCGTGGGGAAGGTCAGGTGAAGCAAGGAGCGAAGGAAGGAGAATAACCAAGTGGATGGGAGAGAAAGGGGAAAGAAGCGAAGGGTAACGCAATGGTGGCGGTTTTTAGCACTTGGTTCTGGAGGGAAATACCACCAGCTGCTGCTGCTGCTGCTGCACATACTCCCAACGCTCTGCTGCGAAGAAAGAAAGTCAGAATGACAAAGGGAGACACTGCAAATACGTCCTATTCTGAGAGGGCCTTCTGTCGTTGCTTTCATCTCCCCTTGTGATTGCTCCCAACGCTCTGCAGTGGAGGAATTTGGGATAATGAGGAAAGGAAAATTTATCAAGTGGTGAGACAGGAGGAAAAGTTCAAGGGAGTGGTGGTGGTGTGGATGGTCGCCATCGTTCTGCTGTTGCGTATACTTCCAGAGCTCTGCAACGCGGAGAAGAAAGAAGGAAGAGAACCAAGAGAACGCTCAAAACATACAGATCTCAGGCAGCCATAAATGAGGAGGTGGAGGAAGGAAGGGAGGCAGGCAGCAGCAGGATTGGCACAAGGGCAGCAATCAATGGTGAGTCGCAGACGCCGAAAGAATGGGAAGAAGGGATGCAAGGGGTCCTTTACCTGCTGGGATGACGATGTTCCCTCGGCCTCTGTTCACCACCACCCCGTGCACCCCTCCCGTTCTTCCAGGAACCTCCATTCTTTCATCCTCCCTCCTTCCAGCCTCCCTTCCGGTCCCGTCCCTCTCAGCTTCTCTCCTCTCATCGTCCCTCACTTCGAGTCCCTCCCCTTGCCTCCCCTCCCCCTGCCTCTCCTCCTCCTGCTTTTCCTCGTCCTGCCTTTCCTCCGAAGCAGCTGCAGCGGCGCGAGTCCACACACCCCTTTGGAACGTCGTCATACCCGCTACAAGCAATCCCGTTGTTTCAACAGGGACGACGGCAGGCGGCGAGGGGAGAGACGGCGCGGCGCCGCGGGGGGCGGAAAATGCTCCGCGGAACGACTCTGCGGTTGCGACATCGCGGCTGCGCGGATTACCGGCGCGCGCAACGCCAGATGTTACGTTCCGACTGGTCGGGATACCACTAGTAGTTCCCACATTCGGAGTACTGTTGGCCTGAAGAGCAGTGGTACTAGCACTTGCAGTGCGATTCGTGCTGCCAGCCTCGTTATTACCACTACTAGTACTACTACCAGCAGCGACCTCATGACGGGGATGCACTGTAGCTCCACTTTGGTCGCTAGTGCTTCTGCTGTCCTTATCGGGAACCCACCGGGCCTCAAACCGGCCCGCATGCGCGGATCGCCCAGTCACGTTCCGCCACGTGTCACGGGAGACAATACCGGCGCAGGCCGTCACCGAACCGGTCCATTTCCCTATACTGGAGGCCAGCAGATTGGCGAAACGCGGCCTCATAGAATCGAAAGGACCGATGTCGAATCTTGAACGTCTCTGATGCGGTCTTGTCTGTTGCTGTATAAAATCGAATTGCAATTGTACGCAGGTTGGGTACATCTGCCTGTCAGACAAGAAAGCTTGGCGCGCTACTATCGAAGCTCGGCTGGCGACTAACGAACCTCTTACCAGCTGATCTGTTAGCCCGGTCATCTCATTGGCTAGGCGGTCAAAGAAGTTACCGAAAGAGCATGGGTAGACAACGAGCTCGTTAAAAGAGCCGAACACGAGAGAATTGCTCCAGTGCCTTGTTTGGTGATTCGCTCTTGCCCACGTGTCCCCAAATTGCTCGAGTGGCCACGCCAGGGCATTTACGAGGGGTTTTTTTTTCTCCGGCACATTACCCTACCAGCATTTGTATCCCCGGAATTCCTCGTTCGCACGAGTCTCATCCCGCGGTAGTGATTCGTATTATTCCCCACCCGAAAATTTCGGGTGGTTGGCGGGCGCGAACGTGGCCCAGCCAACAGTATATGCGCGGCCATTTTCGCCCCAATGCGCGACCAATGAGTGCGCGGGCAAACAAATTCGTAACCAATAAGCGCTCGAACATATAAATCCGCGATCATAAACCTCAATTGACCAGCATCAAACCGCAACAGTCCTAACGACCGCGCATGATTCGTCAATGATATGCTCGGTGCAATTGTTGGCAGTACACGTCCAATCAGGTGCCATCATTAAGTATTGCGACCATGTTTGACCGCGCAAATGAAACTCAATTTACTTTATGATCTCGCCAATCATATGCTAAAAACACTTGCACAAACATAAACTCTGGCCAATTAGGTTCAAATTAAAACGCTCAAACTCAGTTTGGTACACCTGTATCATCTTCCCGCGCATTATGATTTGAAACATATGCTACAGATCGCTCACATCATTTCCTCGTTGTTTTAGGGTTGACATTTACCCTAGCCTTCGATTAGACCACTTAGGTCCTTCCAGGAGGTTCTTCTAGGAGCTTTTCCGCCTTGAACGTTCCTATTAGCCGCAATGGGTTCGATGTCTTACACCACTAACACAGAGTCCGACTCAGGCGATGAAGATACAGAGTTTTGCTTCGTTGGAACTGGAGAGCCCAAGCAAAGTGATATGTACCGTGCGTTGCTCCGGGAAATGGTCGTCGACGAGGACCGCTCGCCACAAATTGTGATAGACGATCGAGCCTCGTTGTGTGAAGGTCAACTATACTCGTCTAAGTAATTTCTGTACGAAGCACTAGAAGACTATTCGGTAGCTTGCAACTTCGGATTTAGGGTTATGAGGAGTAGGCGAAACAGAGTCCACGCCATATGCATGAGTCAACATGAGCGTCTTAAACCAGCGTGCAGGTGGCGGTGTGAGTACTCCACTGACGGTGTGGGTGGGTTTTGGCGTGTTGACAAACTGTCCGCCCCATCATCTCATTGCTGCTCACCCGTTGATCGAGACCGGTACGTGAAGCATACAACAAATAAAGTGTCATATCTGCAGCGTCATCATGGCAACCTTGTCCATGCTGCACCACATCACCCTCCCGGGACGTACAAGGATCAGATTGCGTCAACCGGTGGTCCGGATATCAATTATCACCAATCATGGCGGTACGTCTCGAAACATTCTCTCCATATCGCTTCCATTGTCACATGCACATTCTTAAGCACACCATTCACCTTCTGTTTTCTCAACGTGCCTATCTTTTCTCGCACATCGTCATCCGCCATTGTAGGCTCAAGGAAAGGATGCTGAAGGAGCGCTTTGGAGATTGGAAAACTTCTTTCCGCTACATTCCTCGGGTGTTGGAACGGTTCAGAGAGATTGACCCTGATTCAACGCTCGACCTTGTGACGAGGGATCACGCTTTCTTCCGGGCTTTTGCCGCCCCATCAGCATCAAAAACTGCTCTAAGGTTCTGCCGACCGGTCATTGGCATGGATGGTACATTTCTCATTCGGGCGCAGCGGGCTACGCTCTTGGTTGCGGCTGCTAAAGATGGAAATAACCAGCTTGTTCCACTCGCTTTCGGTCTGTGCGAGAGCGAGAATAAAGACAGTTGGAAATGGTTTTGTGAGAAGTTGTTGACGCATTTTCCTTCGTGGTCGGCTACCCACGATGCTTCCCTTATCAGTGATCGTGATAAAGGGTTACTACCGGCGGTTAAAGAAGTGTTCCCATCCCAGTTCCCCCACTACTTTTGCAGCTGGCATTTGGAGCAGAATGTGCTGAATTTTGGCCCTAACGCCTCTGAACTCTTCAAGAAGCTCGCAAACTGCCGCACGAAGCGGAAGTTTGGCAAACTCGTGAGGAGATGCCGGGCCGAGTGTGCTGCAATGGCGAACTACCTCTTTGGGGTCGAAGAGGCCCGTGTGCAGCAGACCCGTGGCGGACGGGGAGCCGACCAGCGTGCAAGGGAGCCAGAGGGCGGGGATGAGTTACGGAGCCGGACGGGTGCGGCACAACGAGCCAGAATGGCAAGGATGGAAGTGCGGCGGCAAAGGAGGAGTGGTCGCAGGGGAGACCAGCAGACACCATCTCGGCAGCCACCATCTCAGCAGCCACCATCTCAGCATCCACCAACTCAGCAGCCACCATATCAGCAGCCACCACTTCAGCAGCAACCATGCCAGCAGCCACCATCTCAGCAGCCACCATATCAGCAGCCACCACTCCATCAGCAACCATCCCAGCAACCATCATCTCAGCAGCAGCCATCTCAGAAGCCACCATCTCAGCAGCCCCATAGGGACCATGGGTTCAGACCCATGCCAACTGCGAATCATACCCGTGACCGCCCTTGTGACCTACGGCCTCAATCTACGGCTGCCGACAATGTGCATCCATCTGATCATGTGACAGCAACACCATCCGAGTTCCCTTCGTTGGCAGGCAAGAATGTGGGAGATATGCTTACAACCATGTCCGACAGTCAGGCGGAGGCAGATACCAAAGAAGTATTCATGGAGCAGTTCGACGTGGAGGATGGGAGCCAAATCAGCTGCGGGGAGGAACCGGAGGATGATGAGGTTGAGGAGTGTACAGACATGGGCCACTGCTCTCAAGCCAACACTACTACAACTCAACGGCTATCCACCACAGCAGGGGAGCAAGCGGCCATGAGACACCAACGGCGGATGGAGATTATAAGGGAAGGCGGAATGCAACAGAGGGAAGTGCAAAAGGGCTAGAACGCGCCGAATCACATGCAGCACAGCTGCCAACGCAAG